CCCAGATATTGTTGAGAAATGGAGCACAGAGCAGTCTGAGCAAATAGTGGGCACAGATGTGTAGACCGTTTTTGAGCACTTGTGCAAAGTTAGTTTCTCCGAGCGCAGAAAGACATTTTGATAGTTGAGGAGTAAGTACCATGGGTTCGAACCAGCGATTCCTGCGTAACCGAGAGGGCATCGGGTGCAAGAACGAGTCATCTGCGACCGGGCCTTTTCAGTAGCCTTGGGAGGCTGAATACCTAGATTCGATTCTTTAGCGCGCCGTGCGGCCCCTTGGCGGCCCCGGCACCCGCTCCGAGCCTCCGAGAGAAAATGAAACGTTGTGAAAGTCTCGCATGGCGTGGGTGAGTCCAACAAATTATATAAAGTTCAGCGATAATTGTTCTGTTTGCGGAGTATACGCACTTATAGTCCAGCATTGGGTCGCCCGTGGTTGACCTGGTGCAAGTTGCGTGGGAGCAGTAGATGGCGGCAGATGGTTAATCCGCATAAACCCGATGTCCGAAAGCATCCGATGCTCGACGCTGACGACGTCGTTGTTGTGGAATCTGGATCCGTATAACCCCAGTCCCGTTTTCGCCCGGGTAATCTGAAGAGTTTCTAGATGTATTGCTATGCCAGTGCTCTCTGTTAGGATGACCCGCCGGCGGCCGCGTGGGAATTTCATCCGGAAGCTCTGCAGCTGCGAAGCCCTCACTGCTTAGGAAGCCTCGTCCATGCTCGTCTATGTCCCACTCTCGACCCTCAACCCCTCGACATCCTCGTTCTTCGCATGCCGTATCTGTTCTCGCACCCGCACCATCCGCCACCGCGCAGCTCATGGTCATCCCCGGCAAGCTGCCCACCGTGAGCGAGGGCGGTGTGGAAATCGACGTCGGTGCGAAATGGGGGCTGCCGGGGCAGTCTCATGATCGATATGAATGAGCGAGGCAAACACCGCGGATCTTGCACCCGAGAGCCCAAGCAGCCTGTCCCGAGCAAATTAAGTTGCCCACCTTGAGCGCGGATGGGATCGTGGCGCAAGTCGCAGCTGTCAATCCGCGGAGGAGGAGCAAGCGAATCCGAGGATCTTCGCCGTCGCACTCCCTGCCTCGCCTTGCTTCCCTGCTCCCGCCAGTGCTCATCTCAGACCGATACGGGCATCCCCTGGATCGATCGCATACGCACTGAAATCCCGGAAACACGGTCGCCCAACGCTGTAGCCTCTGCTTGGGCTACGTGCTACTTCTGAGAATCCTCTGAACCATGGAACAATTCGGATCCCTTAACGGCGAAGTGGCCGCGACCTCGGAGTCAACACAAGAATAGATGGGATACCTCGTGTGCACTTTAGACGATAAATATCCACCGAGTCGCATATCTGGCGGTGTCCGTGGCTACGCTCGTAGGCGTTCGGGACGTTTCAACTGACAACTCCAACCGACTAAACCAAAACCGGGATCGTTTCGGGCGTCTCGGGCAGCCTTTCCTTACGAGGACGCGAATTGATGCTGGAAGGTTAGCCTCGATCACAGGCATATGATATATAAGGACCTATGGATGGCAGTGTCCTGGCCTCTCACCGTCCATAAGTTCCTGTCCAACTGCGCTACCGACATGCAACTCTTCAAGCTCCTTCCCTTTGCATGTGCACTCCTCGTATCTGTGGCCTCTGCTCCGTTTGCCGAGGTGTGCTTCATTGATGCCGGACTTTTGATTTGTTGCCCATTTGCCCGAGGTCGACACGTACAACAATGCAGTGCGTTTGGAACCAGTTGAGTGCATACTCGTCTGCTTCTTGGTCTCACTGATATGACAAAAGGTAAGCAATCTTCTGCGGGTGTTAATGTAGCTCAGCCACACTGGCACCCAGGTCCATCTGGCTCACGAAGCTCGTGTCCCTGACGAGAGTGTGAGTGTCTTCCCAGAGGGATAGATATCACTCATGCCCACAGCATTTTATTACGCAGGGCGTGAGTTTGCTTGACGCTTTCATCGCCCATATCGCTCGTGCCCACGAAGTTTATTGCGCAGCTCGTGAGTAATGTTCGATGTTGTGTGTCGATCTAAGTCGCGACCTGGATTCATTTCCGAAGGTGAGTGATTTCTCAATGCTAGGGCGCCCCAGACTGAGACTGACTGGGACTTGGATATCAAGATCGTGAGTGACGTTCAATCCAATGTTCATCTGAATGCGACATTGATTGGCTTCACAAGGTGAGTAATCTCCTAAGCCTCGTTGCTATGAAGCTTGCTCACCGTTACGACACCTGGCCTCCAGGCAGTGAGCTATTTTGCCTCCACTATTCACTCGGGTAACTGGTATGCATTACCCTCCAGAAGGCGAGTAATTCCCTGATCCTATGAGGGAAATTTAATATCAATACTTGGGGGCCTTTCAGCTCGTGAGTCGATGTTCAATTGTTCACTTGGCATCAATTGACTTTCACAAGGTGAGTAAATGGCCGCTAATGTCTATGTGGCTCCCAACTCTTATTCGACAGCAAGTAAAGAACCTTTGAGCTGCTTTTTATCTGATTCGCTCATATTTATTTTCTTCCAGCGAGTGAGTGATTTACTGATGTGCGGTTCACAACCCCGACATTATATTTCCAGCAAGTGAGTGATCTCTCACTCACTATTGACCTGACTCCCTAACATCCATTGTCTTCTGCAAGGTGAGTGATTTCCCAATCCTGAGAAACGCACTCACATGAACAGGACAGATCGTGAGTGCTGTTCGATGGACTGTTGAACGGAGTCACGACATGGCTCTCTTCTAGGCGGTGAGTGCTGTGTTATGGTTTCGACTCTAAATTCAGAGGACATTACTTGCACAGGAAGTGAGTGATTTTGACTTTCTGTTGGCCCAATCCGTGATACGATTTGGCTTGCCTAAGGTCAAGTAATCTCTGAACTTCTCAAGCTCGCATTATAACTTCATGATTCAGCTTGTGAGAGATGTTGCATACGCTGTTGAGTGAACGTACATATTCACATCGATCATGTTGCAGCAGGCGAAGCTAGCTGAAGTGAGTCCTTCGTCTTTGGCCCACCACTGATGTACTCCGACCTGATATAGACCCTCTTTCGCAAGGTGAGTACTTTCCCGACCCTGTGAAGCGCATGCCCACAGCAATCCCGCCCATCCAGCTTGTGAGTGATGTCAAATCCACCTTTGAGTAAGGTTACCTACTGGCCTGCTCTTCTAGGAAGTGAGTCACCTGCCGATGCTAAGAATGTCAACTTCACAATGAATGGTCGTTGCCGTCCAGGCGGTAAGTAATGGTCGACCCATTCTCGACCTCGTTGGCTGACAAGGGATTCCACCTAGGAAGTGAGTGGTTTTTCGAGGCGATGTAACCTTTCTTACGACCCCGTCCAGCTCGTGAGTGATATTTCCTGAATACTTTGCTTGATGATCAACGGAATACAACTTGACCATCAGGCCGGTGATTTGGGCGCCGAAGCTCACAAGAACGAGATCTTGGCCTTTAGCTCGTAGGGTATGTTTAATCCATTCGCTTGCTTTCCAACCTCAAGACTCCCCGCTTTTAGAATGTTCCGGAACCTCGGATGCACTTCATCATTCACCTGTGCAGGCAAGCGGAGAGAAGTTTGGTGGACAATGTTGCGAACATTATTTCAGATGGGATGGGATGGGCCAGCCGTTGCGGAGATTATGGTGTCATTTTGATTCTCCTTGTATATTAATCTTCTTCAACCCCTCTTATATCTCGCATGAGCAAATGCTCAAACTGGTTCAGTTCATCCAGGTTGAAATGCGGGAACCCGGTCAAGTGACGGGGGCGTCCGAAATTCGAAGGCCGCGAGAAGATCAGTAAGATGGAGGACAGAGGTGCAGAGTGTCTGTGAATGTACGCGAATTATTCTTGCTCCATAGGACGCTGTATGATTGGCCGAATAAAGACTGTCACAAGTGTTGGCAACACATCAGGATCTTGTCCCGAAAAAGTAGGTCCAAAAATCTGAACAGCTGATGGGATTTTAATTCTCCAACCCGGATGATCCCACGGGACTCCAGGCCGGTACGCCCTGCAAGGCTTAAGACACAAGCAAGTATGGCGACGAGTCAATTATCCGGGAGAAATCAGAATGACATGCGATCAGGTGTTGGATGAACAGCGAAGTCGTGGATAATTGAGCACCAGTATGAGAGTGGGCCCAGCAACCTCGAGGCGAGGCCCAAAATGACTCGGGGAAACGTGGGTGTGGGCGCTAAAAGGAAGGAGATGAATTGTGGCCACTTGTAGGTCCATCGAAGCATGGTTTATTAAATTATAATTGACCGCCCTTGTGAGAAAGATAATTGAGAACATAATAAATCAGGCAAGGGAATCATGATTGACACAATGGGCTGTTACAGCTTCCCACCTCCCAGATAATTTTTTTTTGTTCCCCGGCTCGATACCGTAACCAACTGAGCCACAGGTCCGTAGTGGCCGGTTCATCGAAGACTCACTTTGAGCCCAAGCATTCCACGCATAGTAGTTAGGCAGCTGTGGGATGTATGCTTCACAATATTTCAAGGGGTACAGGTACATGGAATATACATTGGTCAATTTATGGAAAATTGGCGAGCGGCGGCGGGCGATACAACGTCGGCTGGTTGCCGATATATAACTCTCTCTGCAACGAAATCTCGCGGTCTCTGCCTCGACCTGGATAGTTGGATGTACTGGGTGAGGGGTCAAATAGAGATGCTGCCGGCGAGCCTGCGGTCTACATTTCATCCGGGAAGGCTTGGGTTCAGTCGAGGCCCGTACTACTGCGGAATTGCTTGGCTGAATCGAGTGTTGAGTTGATTGGTGAAAATAAGTAGCACATGAATAAAAGTGCGCTTTGACCGCCATACACCGTGACATCCGCGTTCTTGACAAAGTGAGATCATTCCCGATAAGGGGAATCCACATTTATCGATCCCGACTCTGGAGAGAGTGTAGAGATATGGGGGGAAATTACCCTCCGAGTGCAAAAGCAGTGATGATGAAACCCCATGGCCTGGGCTGGATTCGAACCAGCGATTCCTGCATAGCTTTCTGAACGACGATCAATTATTGTGTGCAGATGCGGACCATCCGCTACCGAGGCTGCTCGTAGAATCTCTGAGCTCGAATACATAAGGCATAAATTGAGTCACCGATCGCAAAAAAAAACAGAATTCCGACGGATGGCCCGGGGGAGCGAAAATCTAGCACTCAAGTACCAACGTAGGGCAGAATGCGCTCCGGGACCTTTTTGCTAATCTTGTGAGCCTCGATAAATCCCAGAAGAAAATCGACCCGCCGCTCTGTGCAAAGAAAAGCCCACATCCGCGTTCTTGAGAAAATGAGACGACCAGCATAGGCGAAACCCACAGATATCGAGCCCTATCTTGTTTCTAGAGGATTTGCAGAGATGTGGGCCAAAATTACGCCTCGAGTGCAAAAGAATTGGTTGAAGACTTATTATTCATGGCCCGGGCTGGATTCGAACCAGCGATCCCTGCATAGCTTCCTGCACAACGAGCAAATATTGTGTGCAGGTGCAGACCATCCGTTACCAGGTCTTCTCCTAACATTTATGAGCCTGAATACGTGGGGCACAAACTGAGTCACGGAGCGCCAAAAAACGACTTCATTCCGTGTCGCCATGGCCTGGGCTCGAATCGAACGAGCGGTTCCCGGGAAAAGTCTTCGGCGTTCTTTCGCCACAGAGCAGATGTGGACGCTCCGCTCCCGGGCCTTATTGTGAAAATGACACTTGCCGAGCGCAAAAGAAAAAGACTGTCAAATATGCGGGGACCATGGCCTGGGAGAAGCGGGCCATCCGCTACCAGGCCATTTAGGTGGGGGGCTGAATACCCAGGTACAATACAAACTCGGTCCTGCCAGTGTCACGGTCTTGCTGCGCCGGCGCCACCCCTGCTCCGCGACTCGCGAGAAGAGAAGCGGTGCGAGAGTCTGGGATGGCGCGGATGAGTTGAAACAAAGGTTAGCGACATATTAGTTGCATATTAGGTTGGGTTGTCCCTTTATAAGTAAGTAGCGGAGGGGAGGAAGTAAGCGGAAACAAGTCCGAGGCAGTGCGGAACAGCGGAAACAAACTACTACGGCGCGCCGCGCTCACGCCCTGCTAACATGCACACTTGCAGTCGAGTGTTCTGCGTTCAACGTTGGAGCGATAGCGTGGGATGGATTGATGCCGGCAAGCCCGGCAGATGGTTCATCGGAATAAACCCGATGTCCGAAGGCGATGCTTGAACAACATCCACGACGTGGATCCGCACAAATTTATCTGGAGGTTTATAGATCTACCGCTATGCTCTGCTTGATTTTTACCCGCCACCGCAATCGTTTGCGCCAAATCACCGTAATCCCGAAATCTGACCTGCTCTCTCTTGGCTCTCTATCACGCCTGTAAATTTCATCCGGAAGCCCCGCAAAGTCCTTATGAAGCCTCATCCAGGTCTGCCCCTCTCGACCGTTCATCCGCGCCGCACTCACTCCGACACCAGCGCACAAGTCCCTCGGCTCGAAGCGGATGAATCGTCCTTTTGGGCGGCATCCGAATCCCTCACGGAGTGCGCACGCGCTCGCAGAGAAAGCCGGCGCAGGCGCCGTGCTAGAACACGCTGCTGCCGCGGAGAGCGCGGGATAAGAGGAAGGGATAGAACTTAAGATGACGGCCCACTGACGCGCTTCGGGCTTTTGCGGGTGGGGAGATCGTTGGTCACGTTCAGTTCGGTGGAGCCCCTCGTCTAGGGAATGCCGCCGCACGCGGGTGCCATCCCTCCCCGCCCTCGCCCGTCCGCCGGAAATCCTCCGTGCGCAAGGCACAGCCCTCGACATCCCCGATCCTCTCATCTGTCTGTTCTCTGGCGATTCATTACTTGATCGAAGTTATGGAACTTTGATGACAGAGACACGATTTGGGACGGGGAAACTCTTGGGAAGCTCGTAAAGTTGTCGTAGGTTGTCAATACATCACCTCGAGTGAAAAATTGGGAGAAATGGTGGTTGGGTGACGCCGGTCCCACATCGCAACGTCGGAGCAGACATCTGATTCACCCAAAAGTGACTGTTAACATGAATTAGGATTACATTCTTCCGGCCGTACCACTCCCACTAAGCATGCTCATTTTCTCCTCATCTAATTTGCGGCAGACGGTGCTGATGCAGTGCTCAGGATCATATGATGCGAACGATTCCGACTTGGTTCCCGCAGTCATTTCACAGCCAGATTGACCACGTATACGTCGCCGATCTCGGGTCTCCTGATGCTCACTACCCTCGAATCCTTCCTGCGCTCGACAAAATATTCACGACGCAGCTGCTGCTAAGTCTCGTTCGTAACACGACAGCCCGGGTAGAATTTCTCGCAAGACTTGGTGGTCCATGGAGCGGCAAGATAGATGTATATTTCGCCTGCCAGATCAAACTAGAAGAGGCCAAAAGTCAATTGTGGTCCTCGGAGGATCGAGCTCGGGCAAGGTATGCCCGCTAATTTGAAGCCGCGGTCGATTTTAAATAATTGGTTCCTTGATCCAGCTCACATTCATCAATCAAGCACTGGGCTCGTTGGGGCCTGGATGCAGTTCTGCAGAACGAGCAGAGTACAGATCTGCCACTCTGGGGAATGAATACATTTTCTCTTGTAATCTTAACGACACCACATTTTTGAAACGTACCAGGCATTCCCAACCCCGTGCGAATCTCACGCCGCGCGCTTCTTGCGCTTCTCCCCCCCGTCGCTGTTCTCCTTCTCGATCTCAGCCTCCGCCGCCTTACGCTTATCGCCATATCCTCCCGCACTTGCCGCCACGCCGTTCTCCTTCTCGCTCGTCATCTGCGTCAATCTCTGACAACCAATTAAATCCGCGTTAACCCAAGCCTCAACACATCAAAGAAAATGTACCTCTTTCAAACCCTGGCGCCACGCCTTCACGCGGTCGTATTTGACTTGCAGTTTTGCCATGGTCTGTTCAACAATTATTGCACTAATAGATTGGGATGGGGCGCGGAACGGCAGACTCACAGACGCCTGAATCATAAAATGCCCCGTCAGTCTATTCCGAAATCCAGACTTTTCCCGACTCACGTTTTCCACCCCCGCCGCCTCCAGCACCCCTACGCGCTCCCTCAATTCACCGCACGTCTACACCACATCAAAGTTCCAACACGCACACAAACAACGTCCGAAAAACACGCACCTTCTGCGCCTCTCCATGCGCATCCTGCAGCTCAGCATGCCTCGCCTTAAGTTCCCCATGCGCACTCTCGAGCGCGCCGTACGCCGCCCGCACCCGCACGCGTACAACTCGCTGGCCCTCGCCGACAATCTTGGAGCGAGCACGGAGTTTCGCCACACCCTCAATGTCGTGAGTGAGAAACACATGTAGTCTCTGAAATGAAATCTCACCGAATACGCGCCGGCGGCGTCCCGCTGTGCTGCCTGCAGCTGGAGGCGAGTCTGTAGAGACGGTATATTGAATGGGTGCCACAACACAAGAGGCATTGAACGCACCACAGCGAGCGACTTGTCCCGCGCACCGATCTGGGCGCGTGCCTGAGCCAACGCCGCGTGCGCCTGGCATTGCCCAATACCAGTTTCTTTATTGTGGGCCGATTAGAAAATGAAAAGGCACGCACACGGACGAGCTCTTGTTGGTGGGCCTCAGCGCGCTTGGCAAGCAGATCCTAAGGATGAGGATAATGAAGGGTCAAGGTAGTCGAATTGTTTTCTAGCCAAATCAACGGACCGTATGAGCGGCGTTCAGCATATCGGCGTTCTGTAGTCCATGAGGGAGAGATCTGGCAAAGGATCGACGAAACGAACCAGCTTGTTTTGCTCGATGCGGTGCTGCAGTTCGAACTCTCGTCCGTCGAGGCGGGCCTGCGCTTGCGACAGCTTCTGTGAAGCAAACATGAGACGAGGGTATCTTGAAGGGAAACCACAAACCAGTGCAAGCGCCGCGTTGTCTTCGCCGCAACGCTCCAGCGCCACATCACGCGTAGCGATCAGGGCTTGCGCTTCGAGTAATTTGTCTTCCAGTAACTGGAAACGGAGGGATATAAGGTCCGGAAACGGATCGATACGCGCCCCGTGAGTGGTTCCACCCGCTCGGCAAGCAACGGCAACGTCTTCACGAGTCTAGGAACTTGGTTCAAGGAAACCCACGGAGATTAGAGCGGACGTACGTCACACAGCTCGTTATCCTTGGCCTCAACCGCGGTCTGCAATGTCGCGATCTTCTGTGGATTGGACTCGACTTGAATAGTAAGCCGAAAAATGACCGCGACACCTACATCGTCCAATCTGCGTTCACGAAGGGCATTCTGCTCGACAAGGGTCTTCGACCAATCTTGCTCTTTGCGTAGGGCGGCCCTGAGCGCGGTGCGTTCCTAGATTGCTCCATCCCGTGCGAAACGAATGAGGAATTGGAGGAGCACCTGCTCAACAAGCTTCTTGGCAGCGCGTTCCTGTGCGACCCGCGCGCGAGTGATCTTAAGGGCCATCTGAGTGACTGCTAAGATTCCCATGTCCTCTTCTTCAACCAGAAACGCATCATTCGGAGTGTTCTACGCTTGTTCTCAGTGTCGGGAAGGATGAAAATGGTGAACCACGCACCTGAGCTGTGGCGTCCAAATGCGCCTTCAGTAGATGTATCTCTTCGGTGTCTAGATGTGCCTCCAAGAGCCCCAACTCTTCGCGCAGACATTGGGCAAAGTTACGGGCGCCCGCGAAATACTCGGCACTCATTGAAGTGGATTGGAAGTGGAGAAAGGAAAGGTGAATCTTGATGGCCGGAAATCGCCGGAGTGGTTCCCACACAAACCGTGACAAACAGATCACTTCTTACGCGTCCTTGTTTCGTCCTTGCTTTCTGCGAGAAATTGATCTTTCGAACCAGCCGCGACTTCGGGTTGGCAATTTCGAAAGCTCTTCAATTCACAAAAGCTTTTTCTGCGCTAGTTTTCATGGAATCGCAATTGCCGTGGATTCACTGTGCCTCTGTGCCGGTGGCAAATTGAAGGGTTGCCGGAAGGATTCCTTTCTCTAATTCGGCTGTCTTTGTTTACATTTTACGAAATCGCCTCCGCATACATGGT